CATACAAGTGTCAACGCTCTGCGACCAGATTCCAGTAAGGTTAACAAGCCTACATGTGAGGTGTTGGATGACGCAGTCATCTTAAATGGAAAGAGACACTGTTTGCCCTTAACAAAGGAGTACGTATTATCCGAGTTCAGAGATATATTCAAGGGTATAGGAAAACTACCAGGGGGCAAGTATCACATTCAACTCAAGCCAGACGTACAACCTGCGCAACATCCACCACAGGCAGTACCTGAGAAGAAGAAAGCAGCATACAAAGAAGAGCTTGAGAGATTGTGCAGTTCGGGAATCATTGAACCAGTTCAGGGACACACAGACTGGATCAACAGCGTCGTTCCTGACTCTAAGCCTGATGGATCAATTTGACTATGCCTAGATCCAAAGGACCTTAACCAGAGCATCAAAAGGAACCAGTACTACATGAAGACTATCGATGAAGTTAGTGCTGATCTCCATGGAGGAAAATACTTTATGCTAGTTGATGCCAAGTCGGGCTATTGGATGGTAGAATTGGACAATGAAAGTTCACTTCTAACTACCTTCAACACTCCATGGGGGAAAGACAAGTGGCTCTGCCTTCCCTTTGGCCTTAAAGTCAGCGCAGACGTATTTCAGGAGAGGTTAAATGCAGTCCTTAAGGAAGTGAAAGGAATTACGGGATGCATTGACAATATCCTCACGAGAGGGGTGGATTCCAAGGATCATGATGTAAATCTCCTCCAGTTACTCGAAACAGCAGGAATGAACAGAATTAAGTTCAATCCAAAGAAGCTACAGTTCAAAACAACTAAGTGCAATTTCTTTGGACCAATTATCACGCCAGAGGGTATGAAGAGCGACGACAAAAAGGTTGAGGCCATCAAACAGATGAAAACACCAAAAGACAAGAAAGCTCTCCAGAGTTTTCAGGGAATGATCAACTATTTGAAACGCTACTCAGCCAAGTTGACGAGACTATTCGAACCGCTCAGACCGCTGCTTTGGGAAGAAATGGAATGGACCTGGGACTCTTCCCATCAAGATGCCTTCAATGCCATTAAAGAAGAGTTCTCCAGGACCCCAATACTCACGTACTTTGACCAGAAAGCAGAGCACGTTATTCAGACTGATGCTTCAATGAAAGGGTTGGGTGCTGTATTGCTGCAAGAAGGAAAACCAGTGATCTACGTATCCAGAACTCTCACTCCTGCCGAGGAACGCTATTCCAACATTGAAAGGGAATTGCTAGGAGTGGTGTTCGCCATGGAGAGGCTTCACAACTATGTGTATGGTGAGCCAGTCAGAGTTCAAACAGATCACAAACCTTTAGAAACGATTTAGAAGAAGAGTATTGCCACAGCCAGCCCGAGATTTCAACAACTTCTTCTGAGGCTTGCTAGATACGAAATTCAAATCGAATACATCTGCGGGAAGGACAACTCAATTGCAGACGCCCTTAGCCGAGTCGACCCTCTCAGTCCAAAGCCTATGGACTCCAAGCAGATGGATGTGATTCCAGTGCACCACATTACTTCAAATGTTCCAGCTACAGACAACCGACTTGACAGAACCAGAGTTGCCACCACTGCTGATTTGGCCTTGAACCAGTTAAGACATTACAGTCATCTTTCACGGCTGGCCGCTTCAGAGGCAGCAACTCCCAGAACGACTGCAACATTATTGGAATTTCCTTGAAGAACTTGCAGTTGAAGATGGCCTGATATTCAAAGCACCATCGACTTGTGATTCCAACTTCACTGAGAGCAGAATATCTAAAGGATCTTCATGTGGGCCACCTAGGAGAAGAGAAAACTCTGTTAAGGGCACGAGAGACAGTCTTTTGGCCCAGGATCTCGGATGATATGAGAAACGCAGTTAAATTATGTGACGTATGCACGAAGTACAAGCCTGCTCAACAGAAGGAACCACTAGTACCGCATGATGTGTCCAGCTTGCCATGGTTTAAACTTAGAGTCGACATATTTGAGTATCGTTCCCACCACTACCTGCTGGTTGCAGACTCCCGGAACAGAACAAAAGTCACCAAGACCTGGACATGTCAAACATCCCAGCTCAGCAGCAGCTGATGTCGCTGACCAGCCATCAACAAAACGATTGCCTAAACAGTGTGTGTCTGAAAAGACCCCTGTCGGAATTGCGCTGTCTCGTCCACGAAGAACTATTAAACCACCTACGAGACTAATTGAACAAATCTAGGGACACTATAACAGTTTAAGAGAAATGTATTTGTAGTGTTTCGTATGGGTAATTGTAGCTGTCATAGCTTTTCATCACGAATATCATTAGTTCTCTTTCTTTGTTCGTAAGGGTGTGACAAGTTTTCGGATCAGCACCTCAACTTTTACGCAACAAAGATGCGAAATTTGTTCCAATTTCAGAGTGCATGCGTACAAGAATCCTATACAAAGTCTTCTGATGTCATCATCTCTAAAAGAAGGGGGGATGTTGCAATATGCCATTGTATATTGCAATTAGTCCATAATTGTTTAGATCGTTATTCCCAGTATGCACCACTCTTTTATTCATATGTAATTATCTATAGATTGCGCTAAAAACTATTATTCATAGGGAGTGTGAATTTTTTGTATTTAAAAAAAGCGGTTAAGACGCGAAATAAAAAAAAATTTAATTCTCATCTTTAAGAAAGGTTGTCTTGTGAGAATATGTTTCATGCCGGAGACGAAAACTACATGAGGAAACACCTAATCAGGCCATATTTTCTCTCTTTGAGGCCTAATTTAGTTTCACATCATATTCCTCATAATGCTCATATACTAGTCTAACAATTCATACCATAGTATGGAAATCAAACCCCCATTTCTATTGACCACACAAATTACATTGGCTTATCCAATTCACGAGTTGGCTCACAGAGCCTTTGATTTGTGGTTAATTTGTGCAAGTCATGCTATACACTGGTACAATTATGGTTACAGTGTATATGATTGTCTAGAGAGAAGTTTGAGTGCAAAATTGTGCTGAGGTCTTTGCCGATTGTGTAGGGGGAAAGTCTTTTCCAATATAGGTAGACAGAGCTTTGATTTATTGACAAACAATTTTGAAAGGAACAGTTGCACATGCCAGAAGCTCTTTGTTCATCTCTTTAAACATTCATTCGATGTCTTGTCAACAAAAGGAAGCAAACAATTGTGTATCATCAAGATAACATTCTATGGAGCAGTTTGTGGGACTGCAGGCAGTTTGTTCACATATACACTAAATAGTGAGGGACCCAGGACACTACTCTGAGGGACATGGTATTTAAGTGGCAATGGCTCCAAATCAGCAGAATGAACGTATACAACTTGATTGTTGCCCTCCAACAGAGGCACCGATTTCTTGAAATTTATGCAGCAATATTTGGTGTTCCCCTCTATCGAGTGCTTTCCTCATGCGTAAAAGCACACAAGCTGTCAATTTCATAGTATCAATGCTCTTAAGAACTGCATCAGTTTTATAAAATAGAGTGCCTTTATTTGTTGTTGTTTGGTTTTGTTTTTAGTCTCTCTTTGGTTATCAGAAACGTAACAACCTGGTTATAAGCAACTCTCTGGCTCACTTTTTACAATGCGCTTAATATATATATTGGTCTCTTATTATTAGGGACTTTACGAATTTCCTGTTTGGGAATAGATGTTGTCTCCATTGTTTTCCAGATGTGTGGCAGTGTCGAGAAAGAAAGAGAGATGTTGATAATTGAGTAAATGAAGGAGCTTTAATTCTCAAATTAACACCCTTTCTATCATAGGGGCCTAATTAGAAGGCATTGCAGTTAAAATGTTAGTGACATGTTTGCATTCAAGATATCTGAATATAAATTGCTTAGGCTTAGAGTTCACTGTAGCATCTTGTTTTTATTTGCAGCGAATGAGGTTCAACTTGATTCACCATATGGTGGAACAAATGTGACTGTATCACTTCACTCCTCAGTGACTTTTAAGTGGACTTTCAGTGGCGGACTTCTTGAAGCAACCTGGGCAACAAAAAGGAAAGATGCTCTTGATATAGATCAAGTTCTTATGACTATAGGGATGGTAAAGCAGCAGATATTTAATGTCTCGCTTTACAATGGCCGTGTAAATGGCAGTTGGAATGGCAAATCTCCTGGTCAAGTCAGCTTCACCCTATCGCCCATCAAAGAGGTTGATAACAGATTTTTTCTCTGCATTTTTAAACCCATAGACTTTGGGGTCCTGAGTACCAAAGATACTGTGCAGCTGATTGTTCAGGGTAAGAGTTTAAGCTGTGTCATTTGAAGGAAACCTAACTGCTTGAGTTCCAAAAGTTAATATTCAAATCATACTGTTAGGGTAACTTTTTCTTATGACACCCACCTCTTTGCAATGCCAGAGTTTGTTCCATTTATGGTATTACTGACATACAACTGTTGTGTGAATAATGTGCTGGGAACCAAATAGGATCAAGGAGAATAGAACAGTCAATTTGGTCGTAAAGTTGAAGAAGATTTTCAAGAGGCTTGAATGTTTGAGAAATGCAGACACTTTGATCCCAAGATTCAAGACATTGACTCTTGGAAAACATTCAGTGTCATATTTAGGTCCAAACTATGAGCCAGACTTCTCAATCATGTTAAATCATTCAATTTAAAGAAGTTTAAAATTTACTGTATGAAAAGAGATCTCAACATTGTAATTGTGCAAGCAGTGGTTGCAAATGTCATGTGTTCAACTTGACTACTTTCTCCATTAGTTAACTTTATTTGTACCTTTATTTGCTCTTGAATTTAGATTTTGATAGATGGGCTTTTATCTTGTAGATAATAATAAAGATGAAACAATTTTAGTGTAATAGAAAAATCCGAGCCCCAGATGGGACTTGAACCCACGACCCTCCGTGATCTAGTCGGATGCTCTAACCACTGAGCTACTGGAGACTCTATGGTGAGCAAGGGTCAATTTGTGGGCCTCGACTGGAACCGCATCGCGCGGCTACACAGCCAAGTATTGGTAAGCACCTGTGAAAACTCACTAACAGCATCACGCTGTCACATTAAGGCATATCAAGATGCGGCCAACCAACCTCCAAAGTGAGCATGTAAAGATGAAACAATTTTTAGTGTAATAGAAAAAATCCGAGCCCCAGATGGGACTTGAACCCACGACCCTCCGTGATCTAGTCGGATGCTCTAACCACTGAGCTACTGGAGACTCTATGGTGAGCAAGGGTCAATTTGTGGGCCTCGACTGGAACCGCATCGCGCGGCTACACAGCCAAGTATTGGTAAGCACCTGTGAAAACTCACTAACAGCATCACGCTGTCACATTAAGGCATATCAAGATGCGGCCAACCAACCTCCAAAGTGAGCATGTAAAGATGAAACAATTTTTAGTGTAATAGAAAAAATCCGAGCCCCAGATGGGACTTGAACCCACGACCCTCCGTGATCTAGTCGGATGCTCTAACCACTGAGCTACTGGAGACTCTATGGTGAGCAAGGGTCAATTTGTGGGCCTCGACTGGAACCGCATCGCGCGGCTACACAGCCAAGTATTGGTAAGCACCTGTGAAAACTCACTAACAGCATCACGCTGTCACATTAAGGCATATCAAGATGCGGCCAACCAACCTCCAAAGTGAGCATGTAAAGATGAAACAATTTTTAGTGTAATAGAAAAAATCCGAGCCCCAGATGGGACTTGAACCCACGACCCTCCGTGATCTAGTCGGATGCTCTAACCACTGAGCTACTGGAGACTCTATGGTGAGCAAGGGTCAATTTGTGGGCCTCGACTGGAACCGCATCGCGCGGCTACACAGCCAAGTATTGGTAAGCACCTGTGAAAACTCACTAACAGCATCACGCTGTCACATTAAGGCATATCAAGATGCGGCCAACCAACCTCCAAAGTGAGCATGTAAAGATGAAACAATTTTTAGTGTAATAGAAAAAATCCGAGCCCCAGATGGGACTTGAACCCACGACCCTCCGTGATCTAGTCGGATGCTCTAACCACTGAGCTACTGGAGACTCTATGGTGAGCAAGGGTCAATTTGTGGGCCTCGACTGGAACCGCATCGCGCGGCTACACAGCCAAGTATTGGTAAGCGCCTGTGAAACTCACTAACAGCATCACGCTGTCACATTAA